CCTTGGGTTAATCGTCGATTACTCTTCAAAAACAATGAAACTACAAAATTATCCAGCGAGAACCCTGGCGAGAGCTAATGACGTGACATGCGCAGCACACTTGAGGATAGGTCAGCTGAGACTGTGCTCTCGTTTTAACTTTAAGGCAGCCCAAAACTACGTTTACATTTTTGTTTGCTTTGACCGTAATTTAGCTTATGATAAGAGAAATTCAAAATTGGTAGAAACTACAGTGAAGTTTGACTTGGGCATTGTTTTTAACTGGATGATCACCAATCACTCTACACTATAATATCACGTGACTCACTTAAACAGTAAACAAGTTCTCTAAATGGTCTTCAGGGACTATATAAAACCCTAACCCTTACCCTAACTGAAGCATATGCTGAAACCTTAACCCTAACAAGACAATATAACAATCTCCTTATTTGGTCAAGTCACGTGATCAAAAACAGTTTTTCGTCAATAACTCGCCAGGGGAGCATTTTAACCCTGTGTCAGGTGGGTTGATTTGGGATCAGCGCTCAAAAATACATCGATAGACCGTTCAAATTACATCGAGTTAAGTAGGTTTCAACGGTTGGGGGTCCTTTAAGAAAAATCTCGAAGTTCGAGTGTAGAGTGATTTAGCACGTTCGTTTTAACTATCCCTTGTTTAGAATTTGTATTTGATAATAATTATTCTAATTGCTTCAACCTCCCTGAACTGTGTCCCTCATGCGTTTCTCTGATCTGTAGCTCAGTTAATACCCAATCTTCTAAAATTAGGAATGTTGAAATTGTTTTTGTTTCTCTTCTTAGTTGGGACTGCAAGTGCTGATACGAACGAAGGTAAGAATTTGTACTTTAATGTCAAACAACGACGAATATTTTACAAAAATTAACGTTTTTTCACCAAAAAATTATTTGTAGCTATCGCACATAAATTATATACTATATAGCTATCGTCTCCTATGAGTAACCCTATAATATCTGCCGTTTTCTGACAAAAGTGCTTAAGTAACATTTTGGAAATTTCGGGTTTTTTGGTCTAACTTTTGTTTTTGGGTCAAGAACTATCCCTGAGGACCATTGGATACATTCGCCGACCCCCCAAAACCCCCTTTTTGGAACCCCCTAAAATGCAAAAAATGGTCATTTTTCTGAGAAAAGTGCTTAAGTAACATTTTGGAAAACGGGTGCCGTTTATTTCAAAAATGGTGCCATTTCGGGAACTGAAAATGGTGGCATTGTTTTCTACGTCCAAAACTGGCCTAGTGACGGCAATTTGGTGATCGTGGGTCTCTTGGCCTGGGAGAAAACAATTTATGTCACTTAAGCACTTTTGTGAAAACGGGCTCGTTTTCTCACAAAAGTGCTTAAGTGCCATTATACGTTTAATTAAATGTTGATTCTGCCAACTGAAACTATATAATCGGTACTAACAAATCTAAATTTTCACGGCGGATCGATTGGTGATGGTCATAAACTTCAGAAACGCTAGCTTCGCCGTCAAAATTGCCGATTTGTCAATGCAGAACGTTTCAAAATATACGTCATAATTTGCTTTAAAATGGCGGGATTATCGACAGGCAAGGGAACATTACCAAAGAGATAGAAGCGATTTGCTTCACTGCTCCTTCTCTGTTGATATGGAGAAAGTTCTTTTATTACCACGCATGCCGGAGTACAAGGAGGCGATTTTTACAAGACGCCTTGTCACATTTAACGAGACCTTCGCGAGGCTGGGGTCAGACGGAGCTCCTTTAAGTTTAGCGATTCTTTGGAATGAGTCAATCGCAGGAAGGAAAGATGAGTTCAATGTGTCCTCGACTTGGATAAGAGCAATACAACATTTTGCCAGTTGGCAGGGAGATTGGACTTTATTTACTGCCCTATGTTCAATTATCAACAGTACAGCCCAGATGTTGACCTGGACAAGATAACGGTCAAGTATCTAAAGCCAGTGCACACCTTTATGAGTGCAGACTCATTCCACCATAAAGTGGAGTTGTCCATTAAACAATCAGGTCAACTTCATGATTATAAGGACTTTGTTCAGGCAGTTGAACAGGTAAGTACTGCGATAAGCATGAACTGCACAGACTTTGAATCGTGGCCAAGGTCCTACGGAACAAGCAACTAAAAAACTAAAGATGTTAAAGTTGTAAGTTTCCAGCGTGGGTCTGTAGAAATGGAATGGATAACAAATCATGACGAGGTTTCCTTTCATTTCACTCCATTTCTCAGACAAAAAGACGAGAGACTCATTTCCATAGGTTGCAAAATAGCTTTCGCCCAGGATCAAGAGCCCCGGGGGATAGCTACTCCCAAAAAACAAGACATTATATACGTAAACTGTGCAGGCTTATGGCCCCGAGTAGTAGGGTATTCTGGATGAACTTGCTTGATAGTACAGATATAACAGATCTTAATCGAGTGTTTGACTAAAAATCATCTATTTCTTGTATTATTTACCATTTATTTATGTACAGCATTACTTACAATTATGTTACATTTTTATACGCTTGTTTTTCTTTGCCTCACGTTACGATTATATCAATAATTCGCAAATCATTGGTCTTTATGAAGAAAGCCTCATCTGAGTTTTAATTTAATTTCTAAAGAAAGAAACTTATTTATTATTATCCCGTACTTTCACCAATCAACTCTTCGTTGAAATGCTGGTAGAATTCCGACTATTTTTTAATCCGCTGGGGAGACGGGAGTGTTTTCGTGTTCTTAAACCACCACCAATCAATTTGTCGTAAAATTTTAGTTCAGAATTATCGCAGATAAAGTTCCACTAATGTGGCTGTACTTAAGCACTTTTCTCAGAAAACGAAATTTTTAAATTTTCTAATTCAGCGTGTCCCCTATTTACAACCAATGTTTCATCACAACAGTTTTAGGCTAGTTTTTCGTTTTACTTTCGATGACCAATGGTTTGAACGGGTCATTTTCATCAGAACATGGAGCTTTTGCTGATGTGGCTGTACTTAAGCACTTTTCTCAGAAAACGAAATTTCAACTTTTCTATTTCAGCGTGTCCCCTATTTACAACCAATGTTTCATCACAACAGTTTTAGGCTAATTTTTCGTTTTACTTTCGATGACCAATGGTTTGAACGGGTCATTTTCATCAGAACATGTAGTATTTGCCGATGTGACTGTACTTAAGCACTCTTCTAAGAAATTCAAACTATAATTTGTGATTTTGAGGCACTTTCCGAGAAGTTAGGATGATGAAACCTTGTCATAAGTCTCAAAAGTCGACAAAGTACCTTAGAAACATAGTGGGTGCAGTTTAAATTGGACAGTAGCTAGCCCAGAGCAATTACAGAATTGAAATCTTTAAAGTCAATTTGCACAAAATGAACCCTGTGTTACTTAAGCACTTTTGTCAGAAAACGGCAGATATAATAATACAACAAGACTTTAACAGTATTAGTTTGTGTTAAAATGCCGTCAGGTCATTACTCATTAAACATCAAAACACAACTTTTGTTAAAATATTAAATATAAGGCAAATAATTTCTAATAAGCTACATATATTTAATTAGGATATTAAGACATATGAAACCCGAACATGACGGCAACTTTGATCATCATTACGACATTGCTTTGGTCCCCCCTTAAAGGTAAAAGTGAATCAGTGATACACTTGAATTAGTGGTTATATCTGTACTTTGAATGATATTCATTAGTGCCATTATTCAATTAGATTTGAGTAAGTTCTCCAATTTCAGGATTTATACAAGCTTGGTTATAATCATGAGGTAAAATCCAGCTTTTTCCCTAATTTGAACGATTGAAAACAGTATGATCACAATGTGAAATTTTCACTACTTCAGGTGCTCTAAGACCAAAGGTACCAGGAGAGATAAAACCTGACTCTGTGTCTCAGTCTGCGACTGCGAATAATGACGTGGCTAAGTATGGAGCAGATATGGCTATAGACAGGGACCTGAACACCTTAGCTTATACAGTACCAGGAGGGGATAGTAACGCCTGGTTTAAAGCATCTCTAGAAAAGGAACACTGCATTAAGCAGGTAGTGCATTATTATTCCTATCGGTCCGCAAAGAACACTCACACCTGCTCTAGAGACTCGTGTACCTGTGAGGGAGGGCAGTGTAATGGATATCCCCTCACAGTGTACCATGAAAACACGGAGCCTGGAGATTATGTCCCCTCCAGCTCCGGGTGTAAACTTGGAGACACTGTAGAAATAAATAAGCAGGGATATTTCTACGTGTATGAAATAGTGATCATCGCACAGTTACTATCAGGTAATCTATTGAACTATTTGATCTTATGTTGTTTTTCCAGATATTATTCAGAAACCTATCAATTTATATCATGTCGCAGCTTCATGAGTTATACTTAGCTATATATTTTAAAGATACATTAGATTTTTAGAATAAGGGAATATGTTTAGACGGTTAGTATAGTATATTAAAGTCATTATTGTGACGGTACATTAGAATTAGACAGAAACAAAGTGTGAAGGGCCTGAACGGAACCCCTCAGGTTCAGTTCCTTGTTTAACACTGCCGTACAGCAAGGACATCTACCGGGTTCTCCAAAGATATATAGTTTACTAGTATATAGTGTATAAACTTGTAACTACGTAAAACTTATGACTAAAATATTGTATTCTTCGACATGATGCGTCACATCTATTTTTGGCGAGCGTGCTTAATCACTCTACACTGAAACTAGAAATACTTTTGAACGCTGATTCACTCCAGATGACATAGGGTTAAAATACATCCCTGACGAGTTATCAGCGAAAAATACTAACCTGGTGGATTCGTGTAGTGTTATTGAGTCTCATGATTTGATAGTTTTTTCTTTTTAATACTTTCAACACTACTATATAACAAATAATTTGAGAATATGAGTATGGCGTAGAAATGTCGATACGTTATTCAGCTATTTATTTCCATTAGAATCTGTCTTCACCGAGTCTATTCAGAAACAATCAGAAATTTGATTGAAAGAACTATAAAACTAACCGTGTAAGTGCACAGTCCAAGTACAGGTCGTATTTAATACACTCTACCAACTGTAACAGGTATAGACAGACCATGTCATCTGGTAGCAGTGTGTCGAGTGAGTACACTGCAAACTGAAAGGATAATAAAATATCATCATAATTTCAAATATTAATAGTAATATCATGTATTAATACTATTACTATAGTCGTAACATTTTCCTGTATTTTGCAATATGGGATCCAGTCTTTATGATTGAGCCAAAACACCAAGCAAGATATTAGGAAACAACTGAAAGTTCGGTTCGGTTTGTTCGCGTTCGGCAAAAAATTTCTGGTTCGGCTGTTTCTAACAGGGTATACAAAGAATGTCAATATCTATTAATTAATTATATAATTAATTAATACAAATAAAATTTCTCCTAAAATCACAACCTACCTCCCTAATATGAGGGTCATTTATGTCATGTAGAAAACACTGCAGCGCAGTAACCACACTAATAGGAGGCCAATCTAATAGCAGAGTATAGAGCTGAGTGGACTTTTCCAAAGAGTCCATACTGGTGGACAACACGAGCTTGGGGAGAGAGTGAGGGTAGGATCTGCAGTGGACTCGGTTCTTCCACAGGAAGTTATTATCTTCCTCCGTCATCTGGGGGTGTTATTGTTATGATTTATTGGCACATTGCCAAGATATCATGTGGGTGGGGGGGGGGGGGGGGGGTTATTGTTATGATTTATTGGCGCATTAGATGTCTTTTTTTCATAACGTCAGGTAAATTCATAGCCGTACCGGCGTTTGCCGTTTCGACCTTAGCTCCCTATTTTACCATCCAGCCCTCCAATTTGAATCCTATTCATTTTATTATCACATATTGCGGCTCTGAAGTTGAAGATTTTGCGCTGAACAGGGTTTGAATGTATTGAGTTGTCTATCTTGTTGAGTCGATGTAGTCTCAACAATATAACAAGCTGAAAGTGAAATGTTCAGAAGAAACTGGAGAACTATTGTCTGAACTATTTATTACTCTACATGACTATAATACCTTAGCCTAGCTGGGTGTTGTTGTATATGCAGTTTCATGCATACAATCCACACGGGGTCCACATAATTTTTAGCGATATCACCAATAAAAATGGGGGCAAAATAAAAACTACCCTCAAGAGCAATGTTAATAAAATAGCCCGAGGTATCAGTACGTTTGACTGATTGATTGTGAAGCGTCATTTGCGATTTTCTCTGAAATAAGATTATTTTCTCGCGCGATTGTATATTAAAAACCCAACCAGAAACTTAAACGGATTCGAGAAGCTCTCTGGAACAACTGCCGAAATCATTAATGACAGCACGGTTGTATATTAAAAGATATGCACTTTGGAAAAGGCCAGTGAGCAGTAATGACGCCCCGTCACTTTAAATGGATGAAAGGCAAGGGATCTAAAGTTATCCTCTCTGCAGCAACGCGCTGAAATCTCCATTGCAGGTGGAAGGTAATAACGTTAGTCAATTAATTTGTGTAAACACATTACAGAAACTAAGGAGGATTTGAAGATGCTTTTTACTAATACCCTTTTCGGATAAATGTAATTCAACATAAAAATGATAACATCGACAATTTTTTGTAGACAATGTTGCTGACAAGCTCATATTTCAGGTGTACGTAAAAGACCAATGCCAAATAATCAGATGCCCATAAATAACCTGAACGAAGAGGTCCCATGTACAGCTGATGACCCTCTCAGTGATGGTACGGATAGTTACGAGTTCATCTGCCAGGAAAGACTTTCCGCAACAGAGGTCATCATCAAGTGGAAAGGATCCTGGGTCGGGAGGGCTTGCTGAGTTGTCGTGGGTGAAAACTTGGTAAGTAGGGTCAGCCAAGGGTCTCAAATGACTATAAAGATCATAATAACCTCATTCTTATCTACTTAGTACTTATCTAGTATAACTATTTTACTCATGAGTAAACCAGAATAACACCTCTAGAAAAATATGCTAACAGAGTAATCAATTAGTAATTAGTAATTAATTTCAGAAACCTATCCCTGCGGTTTGGGATACTACAACGAATATACCGGTGCTCACAGTGACACGGCCAAAGATGGCTGTAAAGTTTGTGATGATGGTATGTAACAGCCCACAATCCTCTTTTAATAACAATTTCTACTTCTGGCTTTAAAGCAAAATTTCAATTTTATCAATTGAATCAGTAGAAAGTACACTGTAGTGTAATTAAGTTATGAATAGGAACTTCAACGATTGTGATCTGATCTGAACCTCAATGTCAGGAGCACTAAAGAAAAATATGATCCCTCTCTTCTCAGGTTCACACGACCGCACGAACAACTTCACTTCAACCCAGAACAACTAAAGCTTGCACCATGTGACAACGAAGAGCAAAAAGATCTTCTACACGAGGACAATATACCACACGAAGCTGAACGAGTTGTCAGTCGTGGCTGCTTCCGACAGTTTAACCTCGCTGACAAGGAACTTGTGGTCAAGTGTCCAGCTGTGAGTACTATCAGTTTGGTGAGAAGGGTTCAGTGGTTTGCTCACAAATAACGTAATCGCCGAGAGGGAGGGGGGAGGAGAGATTTCAAATGATTGCGCTATGTAATTTTGGGTCTTTTGCGATAGTCACAACGCGACAACTAGCGCTGGATGCGACAACAGCGCTATCCAGCCGCTAGTTTTGTCGCCATCCCCAGCGTAGTTTGTCGCTATCCAGCGCTGGAAAATAAACGCTGGCCAGCGCAAAATATATATGTCGATAATTCGCTAACCAGCGCTGTTGGTCGCCATTCCAGCGTCTAGTTACCGCCATCCAGCGCAGTTGTCGCTATCCAGCGCTAGTTGTCGCTGCAAAAGCGACACTGTCGCACGCGATCGTTTGCGATGGCCAGCGCAACTGGCCATCGCAGAAACAGTTTCGATAACTGCGCTGGATAGCGCCAACTATCGCTGGCTAGCGACAACTAGCGCTGGCCAAGCGCTGGCCAGCGCAAGCGATAGCCAGCGCTGGCCAGCGCTGGCCATCGATATCCAGCCGCAAAATTTTTGCGCTATTACCTCGTCAATAGCGCTAGCCAGCCGCGACCAGCGCTAACACAGCACTAAACCACGCTAGCCAGCGCTAACCCAAGCGCTATCCAGCGCAACCAGCGCTAGCCAGCGCTAAACCACGCTAAACCACGCTAACCAGCGCTACCAGCGCTAACCAGCGCTGGCCAGCGCTAATAAGGCTGACGAATAATACGCAACTATATTGCGCTGGACAGCGCTGGCTGACGAGTAATACTAATATTCGAGCGTGCCTAAATCACTCTACAGTCGATCTTCGAGAATGTACTAAACGGGCCCCCATGGTTTTTGTAAGTGTAACCAACTTCAATCGATGCAATGTATTTTCGGACGCTATATTCGTCAACCCCCATGACATAGGGTTAAAATGCTCTCTCTGACAGATAATGCGAAAAACGGTATCGATCACGTGATTAATGACCGATTAGAAGTTAATCTAATTTTCCGTTAGGGTTGGGTTTCAGCATATGTTTTTTTATGGATTGGGTTAGGGTTAGGTGGGAACAGATTTATAGAGGTTTAGGTTTCAAAAAGTCGTACAGAACCACTAGAGTCAGAGAATGGGGTTAAAAAGTCACGTGACAGTTCGAGTGTAAAGTGATTAACATCATCCAGTAATATCGCAATAAATGATTTTGAACATTGCGCAGGCTAGCGCTGTTACGCTGTTAGCGCTGGCCAGCGCCTGGCTAAGCGCTGGCCTAGCGCTGTTAGCGCTGGTTAGCGCTGGCTAGCGCTGGTTAGCGCTGGCTAGCGCTGGTTAGCGCAAGCTAGCCTGCCAGCGCTGGCCAGCGCTTGGTTCGCGCTAGCGACGATAATATCGCAAAAAATATTGCGCTAGATATCGATGGCCAGCGCTGGCTATTGCTTAGCGCTGGCCAGCGCTAGTTTTGTCGCACAATCCACGCTAGTTTTTGTCGCCATCCAGCGCTAGTTTATCGAACTGTTTTCCTGCGATGGCCAGTTGCGCTGCATCGCAAACTATCGCGTGCGACAGTGTCGCATAGCCAGCGTCAACTAGCGCCTGGATAGCGACAACTAGCGCTGGATGGCGACAACTCGCGCTGGATGGGCGAAACCAGCGCTGGATAGCGACAATTATCGAACATAATATTTTGCGCTGGCCAGCTTATCCACGCTGGAAATACTACAACTAGCGCTGGATGGCGACAACTAGCGCATGCTAGCGCTAGTTGTCGCATCCAGCGCTAGTTGTCGCGTTTTGACTATCCGCAAAAGAACCTAATTTTGATACAAAACCTATGGATAAAACGAACACGAGGGGGGGGGGGGGTTTTTTTTTAAAAAAAAATTTGTTCAAAAAGTGATTACGTAAATTAAATGTGAACGACCCCGAATGATATCCTTAATTTGGGTTTTAGATGTTATTTCCACTGTAGAGTCCTTTTTGCTAGACGCTATTTGGGTTCAGAGAAGTTTTCTGATGATGACAAATATATTTCGGTTTCTCAGAGATGGAGGACTCCTATAGTCTTATACTTTCTTATTGTATTTGAAACCTGTTTATTTCTTTCAGGACAGGAATAATTAATTATGTCAGAATTGTGCTGATACTGAAACTAACCCTGCATAACCCTGGACGAGCGACTGCCCACTTGCGGACGCGTAACTGATCACCCAAAATGTATAAAAGTTGAATGTAGAGAATTGCCCTGACGGAACCCGAACCCAGCCAGAGAGTTCGGACACTGTCACAGCTGCACTCCATATGAAGGAGTACACCACGGAACAAAATAGAAAGTCTGACGTTGAAGAAGGTAAGTGGAATGTAGTCATCATAATATATCGAACTGTAATTTTCTTATTTCGGCTGTAAAATAATGAACCGTTGTTGTGTTTGGTCTTAAAAGCTAAATACCAGGGCAAGATACGAGATAGTACTGGTAATACTTGTGAAGACTGCCCTGCTGGTAAAAAACGAGGGATATCTGACAACGACTGTATTCCATGTAATTCTGGATGGATGTCTGCTGCTGGAGCGTCTGTTTGCACAGAATGCCCCGTGGTTAGTTTCTTATTTTATTTTTAAAATTTCCGTTCATCTTGTTACCGCTCACTAACTCAATGTGTTTTTTCTTGAGTTAAAATATTATTATTATTATTGTGTGTTATTTATTACATTTGTTACAGGGTCGCTACGAACTTAGTATGACAAGTTGTGAGCAGTGTCCTGCAGGGAAGTACAATGATCAGACAGGACAGTCAGGAGATAGCAGCTGTAAAGTCTGTGCTGAAGGTTATATTGCTGCTAGTGAGGGTTCTGAGACCTGTACTCAGTGTCAACCGGTTAGTTATAGTCTACAGTCAGCAAGGTTCATGTTCTGGTTCTAGCCGCGATTTCCCTGGTTCTTTATACTAATTTCCTGAATTATAGGTGCCAAGTTGTTATAAATTGAAACTCCAGTTAGCCTTTGATCTTATAGTGCAACTTGCTCAGATGTTGCCGTTAGATCTTTCAGTTTTGTAATCAATTTTATATATTTTAGATGTGACATTATTTTGATATCTACTTTTTCCATTTAGGGAGAAGAACCAAACTCTGATAACACTGCTTGTGATCCTTGTGTAGCTGGGAGATATCAGCCTGAACAAGGAAAAGAAACTTGTCTTCTCTGCGGAGTAGGAACTATCACTGTAACTACAGGAAGGGACAAGTGCGACCCTTGTGAACAGGTGAGTTACGTTAATATGCTAGTTACAGGTTAAAACACACGCAAATAAAGTTTAAGGTAATTTCTAGTATAGTGAAAGCAAATCAGTCGACACGTGTTATTGACAGGGAATGACAAATTATCTAAAACATCTCCACAGGGTCAAGAAGCTAACGTTGAAAGAACTGCATGTGTTGATTGCGTGGCGGGGAAATTCCAGAGTAGTGCTGATGGTGGGGCTTGTCAGGATTGTGAACCTGGAACTTACAGTGCATTAAAAAGTTCAGATTGTACTAAATGCAGCGCTGTAAGTGTAAAAGGAGTCAGTTTGATTGCTAGTTGTGTTAGCTTGTGGTTTTCAGTATATATATATTCTTTTAATTTCTTTTATAAAAGAAATTCAAGAAATTTAAAGAAATTGATCGTCTGTGACATATTTGTTAATGTAATCTCATTCTAACACTCATTATTCATTAATTAACCCATACATTTACAGGGATACTACCAAGAAAATTCAGGACAGGGTTCCTGTGATGAATGTCAAAGCGGAAAGTACCCCGATGTTGAAGGAGCGACGGAATGTTCTGAATGTGAACCTGGTCACGTGACTATAACAGAGAGTTTGTCCGTATGTATGGAGTGTCCAGTGGTAAGGAAAATATCTTATTTATATTCACTAGATTAAAACGTGCTGAGTTAGATAATTTGTGCTACGAATATTTATGGTATTTATGCTTTTAAGTTGTATGGTTCCCATCAATGGCGATTTGGGAATCTTCTGATTTTAAGTGAATTTGCCGTCTTTCCTAATTGTACGTATTACTGACCTGTACTTGTTACAGGGTCAGTACGAACTTAGTAAGACAAGTTGTGAGCTGTGTCCTGCAGGGAAGTACAATGATCAGACAGGACAGTCAGGAGAAAGCAGCTGTGAAGTCTGTGCTGATGGTTATGTTGCTGCTAGTGAGGGATCTGAGACCTGCACTCCATGTCGACCGGTTAGGGGTCGTTCACATATTACGTAATCAATATTTTGGCAATTTTTACCCCCCCCCCCCCCTCCGTAATCAACCGTAATCAAGACCGAACCCCCAAGGTTTGACCCCCCCTCTCCCCCCCCCCCCCCCCCCCCCCCGTAATCAAGATATTGTGTAATTTTGTCGTTGATTTAATTTTATTACTGATTTAATTTTATTACTGATTTAATTTTATTACTATCTATTACATGTTCATGTTAAGCCATTTATTTATTAAAAGCTATCACAACGGATTAATGAATGAAATAATCGCAAAACACTTACTAAACGAAAATTGGTTTAAAAAACGAAAATTTTGATTACATAATTAACGAAAATCGGTAAAAAATTAAAATTTTGATTACGTAATAAACGACAAACCCCCCCCCCCCCCCCCCCCCCCCCCGTAATCAACCGTAAGCATTTGAAACCCCCCCTCCTCGGCTGATTACGTAATATGTGAACGACCCCTTAGTTATAGTCTACAGTCAGCAAGGTTCATGTTCTGGTTCTGGCACTGATTTCCCTGGTTCATTATACTAATTTCCTGAATTATAGGTGCCAAGCTGCTATAAATTGAAACTCCAGTTAGCCTTGGTAACTCTCCACCTATTTTCTAAACAATTTAAAATTTACTATTACTTCATATCCTCAGGGAACTTACGAAAATAGGAAAGATAAAGCCTGTGAGAATTGTCCGGCAGGTTACTATCAAGCGGCTGCTGGACAGCTATCATGTGATCCTTGTGAAGATGGAGAAATCTCTGCTGAAGGAGCAACGACGTGTACGCAGTGTGATAAGGTAGCTTCACATATTTTTTTAGACTCGATTTTCAGGGCACGCGATTGAAAATCGCTCATGCAATACAATTACACATGAGCGCTGACCTTTGACCGGCCATAACTTCGGCTAGGAACAACATTTTGTCATGGGACTAAAAGGAACTGATAGATATCACTCCCTTCTATCAAAAAAAACTATAAAATAAATTTCGAGAGAAATGTCATAAAGACCCCCTGCCCCCCTAAAAGACACGCAAATAAAGTTGAAGGTAATTTCTAGTAAAGTGAAAGCAGATCAGTCCACTTGTTATTGACACGTGTTACTGACACGTGCTATGGACACATGCTATTGACAGGGAATATCAAATTATCTAAAACAACTTCACAGGGTCAAGAAGCAAACGTTGAAAGAACTTTATGTGTTGATTGCGTGGCGGGGAAATTCCAGAGTAGTGCTAATGGTGGGGCTTGTCAGGATTGTGAAGCTGGATCGTACAGTGCAGTTAAAAGTTCAGATTGTACTAAATGCAGCCCTGTAAGTGTAAAAGGAGTTAGTTTGATTGCGAGTTGTGTTAGCTTGTGGTTTCCAGTATATATATTCTTTCAATTTCTTTTATAAAAGAAATTCAAGATATTTAAAGAAATTGATCGTCTGTGACATATTTGTTAATGTAATCTTATTCTCACATTCATTATTCATTCATTAACCCACCAATTTTCAGGGATACTACCAAGAAAATTCAGGACAGGGTTCCTGCGTTGAATGTCCAAGCGGAAAGTTCTCCGGTGCTGAAGGAGCGACCCAATGTTCTGAATGTGAAGCTGGTCACGTGACTGAAACAGAGGGCTTGTCCGAATGTACGGAATGTCCAGTGGTAAGGAAAATATCTTCTTTATATTCACTAGATTAACACATACCAATTAAGTAAGTTTGTGCTTGTTTACGAATTGGGGATTTGTGGTAAAGTTACCATCCCCTTAACAGGGCGAATTGGCGATGTTAAATTTTGAGGTTACTTTCCCATCATTGCAAATTGTAAGTGTTATTTATCTGCTGTTACAGGGTCAGTACGAACTTAGTAAGACAAGTTGTGAGAAGTGTCCTGCAGGGAAGTACAATGATCAGACAGGACAGTCAGGAGAAAGCAGCTGTGAAGACTGTGCTGAAGGTTATGTTGCTGCAAGTGAGGGATCTGAGACCTGCACTCAGTGTCTACCGGTTAGTAATTATAGTCTACAGTCAGCAAGGTTCATGTTATGGTTCTGGCCCTGAATCTTTATCCTGAATTATAGGTGCCAAGTTGTTATACATTGAAACTCCAGCTAGCCTTGGTAACTCTCCACCTATTTTCTGAACAATTTAAAATTTACTTTTACTTCATATCCTCAGGGAACTTACGAAAATAGGAAAGATAAAGCCTGTGAGAATTGTCCGGCAGGTTACTATCAAGCGGCTGCTGGACAGCTATCATGTGATCCTTGTGAAGATGGAGAAATCTCTGCTGAAGGAGCAACGACGTGTACGCAGTGTGATAAGGTAGCTTCACATATTTTTTTAGACTCGATTTTCAGGGCACGCGATTGAAAATCGCTCATGCAATACAATTACACATGAGCGCTGACCTTTGACCGGCCATAACTTCGGCTAGGAACAACATTTTGTCATGGGACTAAAAGGAACTGATAGATATCACTCCCTTCTATCAAAAAAAACTATAAAATAAATTTCGAGAGAAATGTCATAAAGACCCCCTGCCCCCCTAAAAGACACGCAAATAAAGTTGAAGGTAATTTCTAGTAAAGTGAAAGCAGATCAGTCCACTTGTTATTGACACGTGTTACTGACACGTGCTATGGACACATGCTATTGACAGGGAATATCAAATTATCTAAAACATCTTTTCAGGGTCAAGAAGCAAACGTTGAAAGAACTGCATGTGTTGATTGCGGGGCGGGGAAATTCCAGAGTAGTGCTAATGGTGGGGCTTGTCAGGATTGTGAAGCTGGAAGTTACAGTGCAGTTAAAAGTTCAGAGTGTACTAAATGCAGCCCTGTAAGTAAAGTAGGAGTCTTAATTTTACTTAAGAGTTGAGGTAGCTTGGGATTTCCATTATAAGAAAAATACATAATAATTATCTGCCAAATAAAAAAAATTATCATCCGTGACATTCGTCTGTTTCTTTCATTCATTATTCATTCATTAACCCACAAATTTTCAGGGATACTACCAAGAAAATTCAGGACAGGGTTCCTGCGTTGAATGTCCAAGCGGAAAGTTCTCCAGTGCTGAAGGAGCGACCGAATGTTCTGAATGTGAAGTTGGTCACATGACTGAAACAGAGGGCTTGTCCGAATGTACGGAATGTCCAGTGGTAAGGAAAATATATTCTTTATATTCACTAGATTAACACATACCAATTAAGTAAGTTTGTGCTTGTTTACGAATTGGGGATTTGTGGTAAAGTTACCATCCCCTTCATGGCGAATTGGTGATGTTAAGTTTTGAGGTTACTTTCCCATCATTGCAAATTGTAAGTGTTATTTATCTGCTGTTACAGGGTCAGTACGAACTTAGTACAACTAGTTGTGAGAAGTGTCCTGCAGGGAAGTACAATGATCAGACAGGACAGTCAGGAGAAACCAGCTGTGAAGTCTGTGCTGATGGTTATGTTGCTGCTAGTGAGGGATCTGAGACCTGCATTCAGTGTCAACCGGTTAGTAAATAGTTATAATCAGCTGGCCTTGTGTTCTTTTCATGGCTCTAAAAGGATACATTATTTTCCCAAATTATAGGTTCCCATTCGTTATACCTTGCATCTTTAGTTAGTCCATACTACACATCTCATCTAAGAATAATCAGAAACTGATTGTACTCCTCATTTCTAGGGAACATACGCAGCATACAAAACACGAGCCTGTAAAGTGTGTGAAGAAGGTAACGTTCAGCCTAATACCGGAACAGTATCCTGCAATGTGTGTCCGACTGGAACGGTTTCTAACGAAGAAAGAACAGAATGCACAAGTAAGTTTTATCATGTAATACAGTCTTTGTTCGTCTCAATAAAAAATCATATTACAAGCATTTAAAGTGGTCCTTTATTTGAGAGAACTCATTCAAAATACTATATTCTTCTCGGTTACGAAATCCCCCTGTGGGATAGAGTTAAAGCTTGACGTCCCGAGTTAGCCGGTGAATTTTTAAAGAGTGTAGTAAGCATTATAAATAATATAGTATGAGTATAAAAATAAGACACACAATTTCAGCTCCCTGCAATCCAGGCTGGTTCTCGCAGAACGGGGGATTGGGACCCAACTGCAAACCTTGTGATGCAAAATGAGTTGTGTTTCAAGCTTCTTTCTATGTCAAAATGATGAGTACACTTTGGATGACTGTGCAGCTACAGCAAGTGATGTAAGATCGACACTGTGGTGACCAGATGTTACACTATTTACCTTAACATTTATCATGATCTGGATTTTAACTTATCATTTGAGAGCTTTCTAGTGTGGATATCTGTTTCAGAGATTGTTACTAGTATTGATGGATGCAAGAGTCGCTCGTGCTACTTACATGGTGCTGGTACAGGTTCAAAGTATCAGAATACTAAAGTATACAGTTAACTCTGATTTATTACTCACTAAATTAGCGAACTGGCTGACAGACGACGTTGGTCGCTTTTTACCTCACAATTCGGAACCTATCAAATTCATTTAGCTCATTCGCGATTAATTGGATCGCTTCTCTTATCTCAAGGAAGAAGAATAATAATGTTATTCATTCATTGTGTAGACACGTGTAAACAGCGCTTATTCTTCATGTCCAAAGAAGCAAAACTAAGTTCCACTTCAAACACCCTTCAGTTTACTTCGTGTAATCTACCTGGTAAATGTGGGTTTATTCTGAAAACTTCCTAGTGAAGCTGGCATTGTGCCTTGAGACTGTGGACTGAGAAGGAAGATTATAATTAATGAGTCAGTTCACTTTCTTGATGATGGTTCAGGCGGACAATATAATGCCCTTTATTTCTGTGTGATATATATTTAGTCGTCATTATGTGTATCCAATATCTTGGTTAGGTTGGCTTCATTCGAAAGCTGCAGTCGACAAGAGAAACGATTGGGAGTCTGAATATGCTATTTATTATGCTTGAGTGATGAAAGTAGATTTAAAGGTTGATATTAGGATTTGATAATGACATTACATCATCATGATTAATTATGGATTGATTGTTGAGGCCCTTGTTCAAAATGCAACCACAGGTTGTTAATTTATAATAATATTTTCAATACTTTTAATCTAACTTTCAATATGACATATTTCAATATGACATATTTCTTGGTTTTAAGATCTCCACTCACTTTGATTACGATTCTTAAAATTGATTATTCTTATGAATTGTGTTTAAATCAATTTCGTACTCGGAGTATGTCTGTTTTAAGCACCGATATGAAAAGTAAAATTTAAGAGTTGGTTAATTCAGACTGTCAAAGTAGTAACTGAATACACTGATATTAATCATAATATTTAAATTTGATGAGAGCTCAATCACCACATCAAATTTTAAACTTACTTTTCTTCATGTTCAGATGCATCACATTATTACAAATAACAATTCTATCATAGAAATCATTTTCATCATTAAATGCTACTGTTTTTCAGAGATTATGGCACCCATAGTATGTGTAACCTATGGATTTTGAACGCACTGATAGGATCCCAAACTCACAGCAACTAAAACTGAACCACAAGTGAGGAGGTGCAGTAGAGCCAGTTCTGTGATCCTCTCCTTCAACAGTCCAGTAATAGATCACATGACCACTACCTTCACAATGACCAGGTGGACTTGTTAAGGGTAGTGCGTATGGATATATTATGAATGTTGAAGGAGAGGATCATGGAACTGGACGTACCTCTCCTCCCTCACTTGTGTTCAGTGTTGGTTGCTGGTGAGTTGGGGATCCTTTCATGTGCCTTCACAAAAATCCATTTGTACACACTACTTTGGGTGCCAGATCTATGAAAAATAAAGTACAAATTATGATGAAAATAGATCTATGATAGAATTGTTATGTGTTATAATGTGATGCATCTGACATGAAGGAAAATGTAAGTTTAAAATTTGATGTGGTGAGTGAGCTCCATTCAATTTTTAAATATTTTTGATTAATATCAGTTAATCAGTTACTTACTTTGACAGTCTGTAATTAACTCAACTCTTTATTTAAAAAATATAAAAAATAAAAAAAAAAATATAAAAAAAAAAAAAAAAAAAAAAAATTTTCTTTGATATCGGTGCTTTAAACAATACTACATCCGATGGTACGAAATTGATTTAAACACAATTCATATGTATAATCATTTTATGAATAACGTAATCAAAGTTAATTGGAGATCTTAAAACCAAGAAATATGTCATATTGAAATATTGGTCATATTGAAAAGTTAGATTAAAAGTATGAATATTATTATATAATTAAAAACTTGTGGTTTTGCAGTTTGAACAAGGGCTCAACAAGCAATCCAATAATTAATCATGATGATGTAATGTCATTATCAAATCTTATATAAATCTTTATATCTACTGTCATCACTCAAGCATAATATATAGAAATATTTCAGTCTCCCAATTGTTTCTCTTGTCGACTGCAGCTTTCGAATGAAGCCAACCTATCCAAGATATTGGTTACACATAATGATCGCACTGAATATAATATCACACAGAATAAAGGTGCATTATATTGTCCGCCTGACATCAGCATGAAAGTGAACTGACTCATTATTATAATATCTTCCTTCTCAGTACACAGGTCTCAGGTTCCACAATGCAGCTTCAATTGGATAGTTTTCAGATAAACCCACATTTACCAGGTAGAGTACCGATGTAACTGAGGGGTGTTTGAGTGGAACTTTAGTTTTGCTTCTATGTAAAGGAAGATAAGCGGCTGTTTACAGTGGTCTACACAATTAATGATAACATGATTTATCTTCTTTCCTGAGATAAGAGAAGCGATCCAAGTTTATCGCGAAAAATTGAGCTAAATGATTTGATAGGTTCGAATTGTCGATGGTATAAAAAGCGACCTTCGTAGTCTGTCAGCCAGTCAGCTAATTTAGTGAGTAATATATCAAGAGTTAACTGTTTACTGTCTATATTCTGATACTTGTACTGTACCAGCACCATGTATACACAGTTCTATGGCCATCATCAAATGTAATCTTCTGAAAAACAGATTTCCCACTCTAGATAAGCACTCAAAATGATAACGTTAAAATCCAGACAAGGATAAATGTTAGGTATTATAGGGTAAACATCTGGACAAAACAGTGGTTCGATCTTATTCACTTGCTGTAGGCTGCACAGTCATCAAAGTATCATCTTGTTTGACTTTGAAAGATGCTTGAAACACCATCTCATTTTCTCAGGGAGAGAGGGAGAGAAGGAGAGAGGGAGAGAGGCCTATATTTTGATCGTTTACATTAAAATATGTACCTGAAACAATGAGCTGAAACATTGTTTGATAGCAGCCGGTTTTTCGTTCTATAGTCAGTCATTTTGGCCTGTTTTACATCCTAAACCAAAAGCAACATGATTTTTTCGTAACTTTTCTGAAATCTTGTACATTAATTTGCTGTGATTGTTGCAAACTGAAGCTTCGTGATAAACGCCCGCTGATGGATATACACGATATCATTCCTCGCCTCGAGGGCGGAACTATCGTATTAGAAACATGTTGAAACTGAAAGTAAAAGTGAAACTAAATTAAAAACGGATCTCTTGAAGAAACTAAAGTAAAAACTAATATCTGTAAGAAAAAGCTCACGCTGGTGGATATAATCCACATCACCTCGACCCGCGGGCGGAAAAATCGTATAGCACTCGGGCCCGATGGGCCCTCCGTGCTATACGAAAATATGTCCTCCTCGGGCTAGCGCCCTCGGGGACATATGAAATATTGCACGCGCGTGCGCGTGCAATATTTTGTTCCGCCCGCGAGTCTCCGGTGATATGTATATATATCCCCTTTATTGTTTTTCAGGCATTTAAGACTCATCGAAAGTAGTTCAGCAGGTATATTTAAGTTCAAAACATTCTAATTCAATGTTAAAGATGACAGGAATAAGAAATAGTTATGTGGAGGTTTTTAAGAAATTTGCGCAAAATACGGGCCAGCATGTTATACGAAATTAGGTAAAATACCCAAAATCGCCATATTCAGGTGCCTTAAAAACCATGTTAAAAATGAGTTAGAGATCTGAAATTTTGCAGGGTGTCTAGACGTCGACCGAATCGACTGTAAAAAATTTCAAGTTTCAGGAGTATCGGGAAGTGGGTTTTCTGGAACCCCTGTTTAGTGTTTTACAACAGATTGTCGTGAAGTATATTTATGTCAAAATGCTGGCAAGCATGACCGTCGCTCTTATATTCACAATACTATTACTATTTACCCCCTTTACTATTTACCCCCTTTACTATTTACCCCCTTTACTATTTACCCCCTTTACTATTTACCCCCTTTACTATTTACCCCCTATACTATTTACCCCCTTTACTATTATACCCCCTTAACTATTTACCCCCTTAACTATTTACCCCCTTTACTATTTACCCCCTTTACTATTTACCCCCTTTATTGTTTACCCCCTTTATTATTTACCCCCTTTACTATTCAACACTACTATATAACAAATAATTTGAGATTATGTGACTGATTAAATGCTGAAGATAAAAGAAATATATTCATTTTGCTAAGATTATGTTTGCGTTTCATTGCTCAACAGCTGTTCGAAGGATCAAATTTAAGACCTTTACTATTTACCCCCTTTACTATTTACCCCTTCACTATTTACCCACTTTACTATTATACCCCCTTATTTATTTACCCCTTTAACTATTTACCCCCTTTACTATTTACCCCCTTTACTATTTACCCCCTTTACTATTTACCCCCTTTATTATTTACCCCCTTTATTATTTACCCCCTTTACTATTTACCCCCTTTACTATTATACTCCCTTAACTATTTACCCCCTTTACTATTTTCCCCCTTTATTATTTACCCCCTTTATTATTTACCCCTTTAACTATTTACCACCTTGCTGTTTGCCCCCATTCTAATTCGTTGTTAAAGATGACAGGAATAAGAAATAGTTATTATATGCCTAAATTTGTTTTGTGACACTGACTTCTGAGGTTCAATAAATCACTTTTCCAGTTGACTGAGCACATTTTTGAGGGCACCAAAAACTGCGCCAGAATTCCTAGCCTAAAAAGTGAAATTCCCACTACTCACCTTCAAGGACAAAAGAAAATCGCGATTCTTTAGGCCAAAAATCGCC